CTAGAAGAATAAGATCTGAAGTTGTACTCACATCTCCTGCATGATCCTTGTTGAATGATTGCAATTCTTATTGAAGAATTGCTTTGTTGATCCTGTCTCATCCTAATCTGTGTCATCTTTAGTGGAGGTGGGATTTGGTACCCTCTTTGGGCGTGAGCACCTATGTTGGGAGCTACTTGCGTGGATTCTGCATCAGGTATATCCCTCCCTTAATCTTGGTTTCAGATTTGGTCTGATTTGTTTCAAGAATGAACTTTGAAAAGTGTAGTTTTTCTAAATCAGAGAATAAGATTCCCGRAAGGGAGAAAGAAAATTTTTTGAAATTTCGCCCAACCACCCTTCATGGTTCAATCATCCATATGATGGATCTCCCTTCCCTTTGAAAAGAATCACTGCCTCTAGTTCCTAACCTTGTTCGGGAAGTTGAACATTTTCCTCCCACTACGAAAAGAAAGGTAGAAGCGAAAAGGACCCAAAACTCATTTCATGTGCACCAAAGCCAAGAGGGCCTCGATGCTCAAAGGAAAACTACCGTGATGAAACAAGCTGATAGCCCAACCAGTGTTCTTCGTTAGGGGTGAGCTGATCCAAAGACACTCAGTAGTGCTTCAGAACTGCAATAATAAAAGGATGGAGGGGAAAGTGGAGACCGGCTGCCAAAGACTCCTCATAGACACACAACCCCTCACGGACATGCTCCTAAGGATAGTGACCAGGACCAGGCACGATCCATTGGTACTCGTTAGGGATCTCATACCTATGACACAACTCTACTATTTCTTCCCTTAACAATTGGGTTCCCTGAACAAACCTGTTGCAGCCTCAACTTCTTCCGTTTGCCTACTAAGGCCCCATTGAAAAAGGTCTCAAAAGACTCCTCGCTGGAGGAGCTAGATTCCTCCTCTAACCCACTCCAATGTATTCTATTTTCGGCAAAACTTTGAGACATGCCGAGAGATTAGAGGAAGTACTCACCAAAAAAAAGCTAAGTGGGAATCAAAACAACAACAACCAAACTCAGCAAAGGAAGAAAATATAGCTCGTCTACAAAAAACAAAGGTTGCCTTAGCAGATCAGCAACAAAACCCCAAGAAACAAGCCACTCACCTCTTTCCAGAAAAGTCCAAGAACTGTGGCAGAGTGGGGACCTCAGGGGACCCCATATTTAAAGCTCGCAGAAGGAGGAACCAATGGCCCAAATGTGAAATGAAACTGATAGGAGCACGCCTCTGCGATCTGATGGCGCCTGCACCTGACAGGCTGGTGATAGTTGAAAACCAATGCGCGCACTGAACCTGACAGCGTGCATATTTCAAAAATTCGAAATAAGGGTGCATGCCTTTTTGAAATTCAAAAAAAAAAACCCCGCCATCCCACACATGCAAAACAACACTAATCATGTCAGAATGTTCTAGAAAAGAGCAAGGCTGAACTGATCAAATTGGACCAATGATGAAGAAAAGTCAAGCCGGTCGTAATGGCAAGCTGAACCAGCGATCAGAGCAAGCCAGCCCAAAATGCTCCATGACACTTCTACCCTCTTCACGAGCTAGGTAGTGGCTCGAGAGTGGGGGGCAATTGATGAAGGGCATTTTGGTCACCCCACACAATTACAAACACGTGGATGCTATCAACAGCATAGCATCCAATTCATCAAGACAGCTTGATAGATCGACACATGGAAATCCACAACAGGTACGTGGCTGAGTTGAGGCAAGCTCGGCCCACCAGTAACTGCAGCTCACCCCAAAACTGTTCCATATTCTGCTCCCGCACAAACACCATAACCGCGGTTATAGGAACAACTCGTCGAACCATACGCCACAAAATCCACGGATGACTTGTAACCGCCACGCAAATCTAGCAACAAAACGGCCCAACACACCCCCAAACTACAAAAACATTTCCGTAGCAGGCTCAGAGACGTTGCCTAACAGCACCCGAACCTAGATAGCTATTAAGGACCCTGGGATCACTCTAGAAAGGTATGTGCACTGAAGCTCTTGAACTCTCTCTAAGATCCTCATCAAATCCCCTTACTGAATTCGTCCTCCTGGGTAAAATCTACCTAGGTGCTCTAACCTTTGTTCCTCTACAGCATCCCTCAACTCGGATTCTTAGCTCGGCAATACAGCTCAGCATTGTTAGGCCTAATCTTAGTTTGAGCCACATCATTGGACACGAGGGAGTTAGTAGATTTGTGCCTCATCATAGAGTAATTGCATAGTCATTGTCTTGCAAATAAAACATATGGTCGCTACTTTCTCACCAAAACATTAGCTAGAATCTCTTTCTTGTTAGTTTAAATTTTCATACTTATTGCAATTTTGAATCCTTAGTTGCATTGTCGTAGAACTTTTAATTCCTTGATTTGTTATTGCTCTAGTTTTATTTTAACAAATCTTTCCCAAAGCCACGCGACGTTCAGATACAATCCTAGGGGTTAGATGTAACTTTCAGATACGTTCAGATACCATAGGCACTACGCTCATACGTTCATACATCAAAGCCACTTGATTATGGTACTGCACTACATTCAGATACGAACTATACAAGGGTCTGGCGAGATCGTCTACCAAAGCCACGCGACGTGCTTGGGTTGGATCCATCCGGTCTGTGCCTGAGCCCTAAGTGTCCTTATTGTACACTCAAGCTAACACCCTCTGGTTGGACACGCGTCAGCCCCTTACCAGCCAGCCAAATAAGCCTACATCACTGAATAAGATTGATGAAGGATGTTAATTTACTAAAATGTCCTTTAAGAGGGACAAAATGCTCACTTTGATTTTAAACCCAAATCAAGCAACACCACACCAAAGAAAGAAAAAGCGCAAGATTTATATATGTAAGAGAAAGGGCAAAATGATCCCACAATAAGAAAAAGATTTTAAACTATTTAACAAGCACATGACAGTCATATATAATCACGTAGCTCAGTTTGGAAATAGTACAAATACAAATATATACAGTGCAAATACTTTGAACATTTTTCATAATCACTGTTACTATGATGAAAACCATCTCCAATAACCTCATGATGTACTGCCAACTCAAGAGAGTTCAGACATAACCACTCCTTATGGGATTGATAAGCAGCTTGGATTACCACAGAGGACAACAAAGGGATACTTTGAAAAATGCACTTATTATGGGCGTCCCAAATTTTCCACAAAACAATTGCCTCTAGTCCAAAATCCTGTGTAGCCTCATCATCATTTAATTGCAGGTCCATCACCGTTTGTTTGATCCAATCTTTCACAGTAGTAGCAGAGATTTGATCTGGTCGGAGGCTGAAATTTGAACCAAACCAAACTACTCGTGTAAATTCACAATTCCAAAAAGTATGCTACTTGGGGTGGCTGTGAAAAAAGAGTCTTCTGTCATGACAGGCGTCTCTCCATCCTTTCTCTCTAAGGACGAGGATGTGGAAGCACTAGGACTCCGTTTGGCATCAATTCTGGGATTCTCATTCTCAAAATCCTTTCAGAAAAGAATGGATTCTGAGAATTTCATCCAAAGAATCACTTAGGTGTGTTTGGCACAGTTATCTGATTTCTGTTTCTCAGAAATAGAATCTCGTTTAGCATCACCCTGTTTCCTCATATCCATTCTCCATATGAGTGCTTATATTTTAAGACAAATTACTCATATTTTTATTGGGTAAATGGTGTGAGAGCTGACAAATAAAGGGGAAATACCCATAGGAAAATATAAAAATAAAGCTCTATACTGATCTCCTTATAATTATAGGAAGGTTCCGAGGTGAGCGGGATGGTAAGATTAAAATTCAAGACTCAAAATCAAGATGATTTTTTCAGCTTGAACTTGGGAAAACTAGGTTTGAGTAAGACTCAAATCCAGATTCAATGTACGGATGCATTATATATACTCTCCCACTCATCTGCCACTCAAAGAGCCCCACAAAAAGAAAACAACAATTCAACAAATAGCAACATTATATTGCTATATATGGACTAGATCATTGGTTGTGCTAATCAATGTTTGGCCATGCCCACATGGGTTGGGAACAAGTACATGAAAGGAAGAGAAAGAATACTTCAAATATCTTCACAAGCACAAGAAAGATTTTGTGGGTACATGACTAGGATGGAGATGCAATTGAGATTGCATTTAGTAAAAGGAAATTGAAACTAGGAAAAACTAGCTTCAGCAATTTGAGGCAGAGAAATTGCAGAGAGAAATTCAAAATTGGCCTTAAACCAGACCAAAGAAATATTTGCAAAAGGTCATCCCTTCGATGGTGGATGACCTTAAACCAGGCCAAAGGAAGACCAATTTTCTATCCTTTCAAGAGGTACTTCATCAAAGAAACCAAGGTTTCTCAATTCTGCTTGAAATGTAAAGGTTTTATTTGGAAATATGCAAGACAAAGACCTGAAATGGGAATTGAATCCAGGGCAGTTGTTAAATCCGAACAGATATTACAAAGAGATACCAGATTACCTAATTGGAGTAGTTCTGATGACAAGAGCAGAACGGTGTAAGTGGCGATAATAGGAGCACTGGCGAAGCTTGACACTGCTTCAAAATTGCCTCATTGCATGCTAATGGGAGGGCACTGGATTGGAATCTGAAAGTTCAAGGGGATGTGTCATTAACCCTAAATTGAAGTACTCGGTAGGATTTCTAACTCGTCAGAATATGGGGGGATGGGCTACTAACTCGTCAGAATAGAGGGGGATGGGCTACCCCCGTTGTGTAGCTCCAAGAAGCAAAAAATTTTAGTATTTTTTGATATATTAGCCCATGTGGAAAATTCCCCAAACCCCTTTTATTTCCCCCAAAATCTTTCCAGAATCCTGGTTCAACAACTGCTTTTCCTCATTTTACAATTTACATAACCTCTGTGTCCATGCAACATTGCTTGTAATTGTTGCCTCGTAGGTATGATCCCTTCCTCTGTTTTGTTTACTGAATTTCTCTCAAATTAGCGAAACAATTCTTTTAGTGAGTGGTAAAAATTCATGAGGGTTCTTAAATGCTTATGCAAATGGGTAAGTTCGATTATCGGCAGTTTCAGTGTGAATAAAATAGGTCAATTAAAAGCATGTCCAATTATTTATTTTCTTCTCAAATAAAATTGTTTTCCTAGAAAGGAAAAGAAAACTAGAAATGACAAAACAAGTCATTTAGTTCTTATCCAGGATCCCAGCCTCTTGGTAGCTTCTAACAGAATCAGAAAGGCTCTCCTCCAATGACCTGTATTTCCACCCCAACTTCTGTAATTTCTCAGAACTATAGTTTTCTTCTGCCATGACCTCCTTAAAACTGCAAAATGAAGTTGAAGATGTTTATGAAATTTGAGAAGCCAACCGTGCAAACTAAATGGGGTGTTGGTGAGTATGTCTGATTTTGTCTTTTCAAAACAAAAACAACTGCCACATGAACAAAACAAAAACATTTTGATGTGGAAATTTTTATTTTAAAAAGCAAAATAATACATGTTTGATGTTTGCTAAGGGATGCCAGTTCAGTTTTCAAACCAACAGCATGAAGATCTTAAGTGGAACAAAAGAAAAATCTAATAACAGAAGTGGCAAGCACTGCTGAATATATTGAAATACTTACTTCTTTGGATAGTTGTAGTTAGGATACATGCTCCTTAACTTCTCGATCAGGTCCTTTGCTCTGATCGTATGTGATGCACATATGTATCTTCCTTCTGCTTCAGGCTTCTCATATGCAAGTAGAAGTGCTTCAGCTACATCACGGACATCTACAATTACGTGGACTTTGTTTTCCAATGATTCATATCCCTCTGGTTTTGGTCACAATAGAAGAAAATTTAATTAGAGATGGAACAAAAGAAAAAAAAAACAGTTTGTAACACTGAAATGCAAAAATTCCATGGAGTAAGTTCATTTTCTCATTCTTTTTATTTCAAATCATTATAAGATACTACAAGGTTTCAGTTGCACTTGGAAAGAAAAAGGGGCTGCTTAAAAAGAAGTCATGCAACAACACGGCGTTTGAAAGATAATCACCATTTTTTGTGATGGCTAACAATAATGTATTTAATTAATTCAAGAGAAATTCAGAAACCATACCATCCAAACATGGACAACACAGACAATACAAACACAGGTTTCAAACAATATAGTTGGGACAAGTCTTGGATGAGGTGGTGGCTTGAATCAGTTCTTCAGCAATAAGTTGGGTTTAATCCTGCCAGATTTCCAAGGACTAAAGAATGAAGCTTTTGGAGCAGACTTTTGGAGCTCTTTGAATGCTTAGTTCTGGATTTTTTTTTTCTGATGTATTTTGTTTAAGTCTGTTCTGTTTTGTCTGATTGTTTCTTGGGGGTGAGTCGTGACCTCTTGTCACCTATGAGATGTAAACTCCTTTAGTAATAAAATGTTTTCTTTATTTATCTTCAAAAACAAGTTTGGAAGAGGATGATGATGACACAGGTTACAATTCATTCCCAGGTCCCAGCATTCCCCATAATCAGTCTTGCCTCATCGCCCCAGCTGTTGCAAGATATCAACCACCACATTTGCAAGCCTAGGAATCCACCTGGATGGTTCAGGTTTCTTCTCAAGGCCTTAGCTTCTCTCACAAAAAAAAACCAAAAGTCCAAAACATTCACGGAGTCTCTTCAACTGACCTTAACCATGAGAAAATAACTTGACAATCTCCTTCAACAATCACATTTCTCTAGTTCTGTTAAGCTATCAATTTAGGCCTTTGATTTTTTTTTTTTTTTGGAATATAAACAAACTATAATATAATAACGAGATGTCCACAAAGTTAGTTACATCAGGAATATCACTAGAACGGAAAGGCAAAAAAAGTGATCCTCCCATTTGTTTTGGCTAACTGAGCATCCTTATGGGCTGGTAAGTTAAAGTTTCTTTGTATAAAACAAAAAGAAACAGAAAAAAAGCTTTGGCAGACACTCTTCGTTTTAGACAAAAGCCCATGGCAGGTCCAAGAGAGAGTAGACTTCTGGTTCAACGCTTGGATCACTTTCTGAGAATCTTAACACACTATAACTTTTGTCAGGCTCCAAGAAGTTGCTTTCTGTAAGGCCTGCAAGATAGCAAATAATTCTGCTTCATCAACCGAGCACTGAAGTTGTCCTACCTCCATAAATGCCTAGACATTAGTGCAAAAAACAACTCCAAAGGAGAACAACTGGTTTGCACATTTTCCAGCATCTGTGAAAATAATTAAATCAGTTGCAACGTGCCTAGACATCAAAGGATGATCAAGCGGCAACTTTGGATCCCAAGTCCAAATACCTAGGTCTCCCTATGCTTTGGTCAAGGAATAAACATGCCAAGTTGTCCTATGTCCTGGGTAATGTCAAGGCCAAACTAAATAAATGGATAGCGTCAGCTATTAGCAGTGTGGGGAAACGGGTTATAATTCAGTCTGTGCTCCAAGTTACCCCTCTTCACTCCATGGATCTTGTCAAATTCCCCAAAAACAATTAAGAATTTCTGGTGGGACAAATCAGAGGCAAACAAATATCCCTAAAGTGGTGCCCTTGGGGTAAACTGGCTCAACCAAGGAACAATGGGGGTCTTGGCTTTAGAAATATGAAAATAGTAAATTTAGTGTTGTTAAAAAAACTAGCCTGTCGTTTTCTCAATGAACAACAGAAACTTTGGGCTCAAATCTGGAAATCCAAATACCTGAGGAACTGCAGTCTATTCCCTTATTCTCCTCCCAAAAAGGTTTCCTAACAGCACTGAATTTCTAAGTAAGGAAATCTGTTGCTCCGGAACTAGGGGAATTAAGTAAGGAATGTGGGTATCTGGTTTCTTCTAACAGCACTGAATTTCTAAGTCAAGTGCCCTGGATAGTGTCCAACTGTTCTTTCAGATTTGTGGAACAACCTGTGTCTCCCTACTTGCAGGATTTGCAGTTTAACCAAATTACCTCCTTTAATGCGTGGGATGAAAATGTCCTACAAAACCATGTGAGTGAGGAGGAGCACTTAGTAATTAAGAATGTCCAAATATTCCCAGTTGAAAATACCCTGAGATGGATTTAGACCCCAAGCAAAACAGGAATATTTTCGTCCAAAGTGGCTTATAGGGTGTTACAGGAAACTTTACTAAGCCCGATCTCTGACCAACAAATCATTGGATCTGGAAGCTCCCTGTTCCCCCAAGATACCAGCTGTTTATCTGGAGACTAATTTTTAATTACCTCCCTCTCAAATTTCAGCTCCCCTTGGAGCCACACGAACAGCTTTGTGTGCTATGCAATCAACAGGTTGAAAATGCTAAACATCTGTTTCTGGAATGTGATTTTACTAGGTCCATATTATTTGAAGCCCCTTGGAACATTAACCTGCATTCCATTTTCATGGATTCTTGGAGGGATTGCATATTCTCTTTAATTAGGAATTTACCTGATAAATATATGATTCTTGAGGTCATCAGCTGGTATGCAGTAGCTCTTTATTACATCTGGCAGGCAAGGAATGAGAAATGCTTTAGAAATTGGACTTATCTCCCCCAATCTGTGTTGATTTGCATTAATAGCATTATTAGTAGGAGGCATTGTGACACCCAATCTGAGGTCCATCATGTAGTTCCAATGCAGAAGTTTCAATTATGTATTCCTAATTTAGGCCTTTGATTACATTCATCATTTCAGCTCTCAAATTGTGTATGAATTCCTTGAATAGAAAATTTATGCTCATATTTCTTTTAAGCTTAAATCCCTAGAAAGAAACATTATAAGTCATAGACAAAAATATGCCTCCACAAAGACAAACTACATGGAAATAAGCATAAAGTGAATGAAAGGAAAGATAGTGAAAGTACAGGAAGAGACCTTTCAAAAGCTTGATGAGAATCAAGCTGCTGGCATTCATCGTTGGCTGCAATATTGGTCCAAGAATAAGACTTGGACAAACTGTCACAATGTTGAGACCATTGTTTTTTGCATACTCTAAAGCCTGACTTTCTGCTAAAGTTTTGGAAAGGCAGTAAAAGTTCTGGAACAAACGTGAAATAATGCAAGCTTAGTTTAAATAAAGAACTTCCAAATGTTCTGCAGTCAAATTATATTACCAAAATAACAAGGATACATTCTACATTTCTACTCTAGTATTAATGAAACAGAATAAATATTCAGCAGGCCTTTAGTGTTACTGTTAAACAGAAAAAGGTAAAGTTAAAGAGAAAATCGTGATCAAGAGAATGTTCTCAAATGATATCATATATAAAGATGGTCCTGTCCATATTACATACTTGTCAAGTTCAAAAAATTGGTAATCTTAGAGAGCCCAATTACAACAAAACTAAGAACATAAAAAGGTTAGGAGAAAGACAAGACTATTCAAATTCTATAAACTCAGTCACTTTAATGGCTTAATCAAGTAATCTAGTTGGATTGAGCATTAACTAGGTCCAATCAAGTTTGAAGTTAACATTACCAAATCTAAAGGCATTTCTTGTCCCTATTAGAATATTTAAGTTATAAGAAAAATATGGACCAGAAAATGGATGCAGAAAGTTGGGAGTGTTGCAAGCAAGCTCTAGTTATCAAGCCAGAGTGTGTGCTAGCACATCCATGCATGATACAAAGCTATTGTTGTGCTATCACGCAAGCACATGGAGGCCTCGAAGCATGGAGAATGCTAGTATGGGCTTCTGATCTGAACAACAAACAACTATATGAGAGTTGGTAACTCAGGCCATTGCATCAAATGGGAAAAGTATAGTGTGCACCAGAACACACATATTTTATCCATCCATTCCTTGCTCAGATGTGTTAATGATGGACTAATTCAACATGCGTAAGTGATTTCAAAACATTATTAGCGTCACCTCTTAAGGTTTTACACATGGAATAATTAAATGAAAAATCACAAATGTATACTTGACTTTTGCTGTAGCATAAACCACTGAACATGCTCTGGGTAATACATTCTAGGCGAAAGAGAAAGGACAACTAATTTTTTTCTCCCATTCAATTATTGTATATTTTATTCATGTTATGAACATAGGGTGTAGAGTGTAGATGCAGATTTGAGCCTCCCCTATTCAGTACTTAGGTGCAGGGATAAACTGCTAGATGGCTTGTCTGCAATTTATCCATCACAATAAGCTTAGCACATGGCAAAATGGTGAAAATTTCTACATGCCTCAGGTTGTTCTCAGGTCTCTATTAAGCCATTAGGAAGTACCTGTGCACCCCAAGAAATTTTTGACAGCATGAAATTATCTATAAAGGAACTGCCTAACTGTCAATTGAATAATTAATTTAAGAGGTGCTAAAAAGGTAGAAAAAATCCTTCATACTATTGCAAAAGAGACAAACAAAACATCAAAGCTTACCAGAATTCCRCATCTATACATCTAGTCTGTTATTTCATTCTCAATCATTTAATGCATTTTTTTTAAATGACCATCCATCAGAAAAATAAATCAAAACCAAAATAATCCTATTTGATGGTATATTTTTTGGTCAGTTACCTTGGTTTCCCTGCAGTATTCCTTATCAGACCAGCACATTTCGTCCATAACTTGATTCTTTGGCCAATTAGGATTCATGGAGACAGCAGATACAGATGACACAACAATAACTTTATGCACCTTTTCTGCAGAACATGCTTTGAGTACATTATGTGTACCGGTTACTGCAGGCTCAATGAGTTCTACCTGCAAGACAGTTACTTAATAATGGAAGAAGCGATGATCATTAAGTTGCATACATGATTGTGTGCATCACCCAAAAGCAGATGCTAGCACAAGAAATGCAATTTTATCCCTTTATCAAAGTTTTCCTCATGGTTCTAGCAGTGTATGTATTCCAGTTTCCAGATCCATAGAAATAAGGAATAATCCATATACTGGATACATGGAAATAATTAAACTGAAATTATCTTGCCTCTGGATTTGGTACAGTTCCTGATGGAACTGGGCTCGCAACATGGAATACTCCTTTGCATCCTGCAATGGCTGCACAAAGTGACTGGTAGTCCAGCAAGTCTGCCTTGAAAAGGTGCAAATCCTGTGCAGCATGCTCCAGTTTTTTCAGATGAGAATTCTTTTCATCTCCTGCAACAGATTTTGGATAAATTAACATAAACTTCTTACAGAAAATGTCAACAAGAGGCAATTTTTCAAAATAATTTGGTTAACATATGCCTGGAAATGTACTCATATTCATAGCTATACATAGTTGTCAAATTTACATTTCACAACAGCACCCCTACCAGCATTCTCTCTCTCTTTGACTTTCTTAGAATTTTACTGTCTAACACGACATTCAACTGCAGACCTTCATACAGATTCCGGTTTGTTTATTGAAAGAGCATCTTTAGTTTAGGTGTATAATTGGCTCTGATCTTTGCACTTTCTTTGGGAATTGTGTACGGCATTCCATCTCTAAGAAATGGTATATCTCCACAAAACATGGAGAAACACATAAAATTAAGGATTCGATGGAAGAAATTCTTGTAAAAGAATCAACCGGAATTCATCAATGAACTACAACAGGTAAAAGAAATAAATAACTAAATAATCAAAATAAAACCAAGAGAAAACAGATGGAGTTAGAGAGGAGAATAACAACATAGAAACAAGTACTAATTCAAAAGGGCATAGTAGGACCAAATAATTATAAAAAAATCCTTTATATTTATCAACTTACTGCAAAATTTAAATGAACCATGCATCTACAGGCAAAAAAGGAATGAATACCCATATTAGTAGCGTAAAGCATCTCACCCAAATAAACAACTAAACAAGTAGTACAAAAATGAATAACATTCATATCAGGCTCAAAAAACGTAAAGAAAAAAAAAAGGGACTAAAGGAGTATTAGTAAACTAACATTAGATGAAGCTTCAACCCATTTAAACAATCTATAGATTTCACTAGTCACACCAAGAAATTAAATGAATTGGAAACCAAAAGTACTTGGAGAAGAGACTTAAAAAATATGAATAAGTAACAAAAAAGACCCAACAAATTTCGTTGGCATGATTTAAGCATTCCGAGTATTATTTCAAGCCACATCCAAGCATAAGCCAGTGGAACTATTTCCTCAAATGCGTTTAACAAGAAGAAGAAGAAGAAGAACCGACCTGGTTCTCTAACGGTTCCATGTACTATGTAGCCCCTAGAGAGTAGAAGCTTCACGACCCACGAACCCAAGTACCCTCCTGCCCCTGTCACACATACTCTTCCCTTCTCCGCCATTAACGTTCAAGGAAATCAAAGTTCCTCTTTCTCACCCTGGTCAGCAACCAACTGCTTCGGTTCGGTACACTACCCCTTTTTCATCAGAAAATCGAAGAAATTTGAGATTCGGGAAGCTCTAGACTGCTTATGATAACCGTGCATTCCACGTGTTCAATTCACTGAATCCCATTTCGCTAGGAGACGGTGACTCGCTAAAATAAATATAAATAAATAAAAATAAGGGTATGGTCAATGACAAAACATCCCCTCTACCTTAATCTGAGACAAAGACTCCTCTTACTTTAGCGGTTAGATGAAAATTCCGCTGAGTTAGAGTTCTACCAATTAACTTTGAAAAGAGCATTCAGCTTTTTAAAATATTTTAGGGTAAATTTCTTATAGTATCTTTATAGTTTAGTTAATTTATTAATTCTATCTTTATTTTATATATTATTTTAAAGACTAACCGTTAGATAAAAACTCCTTTGCTGTTAAATCAGATGACGGAAAGCATTAAATTGCCAAAATACTCCACTAAAATCGAAAATTTTCGGATTAATGCATTGGTCCGATCATGGTAGGAGAAAAATAAAGTGCAATTCAACTCTGTTTAAACTTTAAACTTGGTTGTGTAAAACCCAAAACACCATACACAGTAATAAGATAAAGTCCGGCATGCTTTTTTATGCTCATCTTATTGTAGGAAAATAATAAAACTATAAAAGAGTTGTCGAAAGTTGTTTATTACCATTACTCCTTCGGATTTACAACTGCCAGCTTATTTCCTGGTTTTTTTTTTATGAATGAAATTGCTATTTTCACTATGTTTTCTGAAGAAAGGCTTATCTTCCAGGATACTGTATATTTTTAAAGCCATTCGGGTTTGTATTTCGAACTGAAAGTGGAAAAGCATAGGAACCCATCAATGCACTCTCTCCTTACCTCAGAAGTGTGGCATTTTTCGAGCGCAGAAACTGAACCTCTGATTGGTACAAAACTGACAATCCGCAGTGGTAGAGAATCTTCTTGGATCTGTGAGAAAGAAGAAAGAAAGAACAATGATCTGGTTTCTTTTCCTTGTTCAAAGTTGAATTGAGGAACCAAGATAGATTCTAACTTTCAGAGCTTCAAGAGGCTGGTTTGAGAGGGGAGAAGAGAGAGAGATAGAGAGAGAGGGGAATCCAAGCCAAGCCAAAGCTCTCAAGTCTTCAATCAAAAGAAACACCAATTCAAGGTCACTATTGCCAGCTAGTTGTGCATTGCCAGAGAAAAAAGAGAAAAAGAGAGCAGGTGAGAACCAATTTAATTACAGTTTCCAAAATTAAATCCTCAAACAACAGAAGAACCACGTGCTTCCCCTACTCCTCTTTCTATAGAACATTAGACTACCATTTATTACCTCCTACCCAACCATCACAAAATTCACAAGTAACTGCGCAGGAACAAAGACCACGATGACTCTTTTTCCCTTCCAATTGTCTTGTCTGACTTTTGACCCACCCAAGAACTTTTCAATCCAACGTTTCAAAGATGGGTTAACCCGTTTTTTTCTCCTTTTTTTATCAATCTTTGTCTTTGTTCTACTGTTCTGTCTCTGCATCTCAAGAATTGGGGTTCTGGGTTTCTGAAATTCTTGCCATTAAACTCTGTCCTCATTAGTTGTTTAACAGAGCACAGGGAGGGTGGAGAAAGAAAGTCAAGAACAACCAAAACCAAAACTAGAATAACAAGGAACTGATTTCCGAGGAGGGGAAGGAGAAAAAACAAGCACCATTGATGTCTGTTGTGTTAGAGATGAGATGGTGGGTGCACGAGTCATGAGAGAAGCTGCCATTGAGGTGGTGGAGTCATGCACGCACCCACTAAATGTTGGTTTAAACATTTCACTTGTCAAAATAAAATTAAGTTGTATTGGTTATGGCCGAGAGTGACGGAAAAACAGAGAAAAACAGAAGCTGCTGTTCGTGTATCCTGAGGTGGGGAAAGATGAACAGTGTTTTTCTTTCAATTGTAAGAATAGTTATTACAAGGATAGTATAGAAATTAAAAAATATTATAACGGCAGATTTCAACCAAAAGTTAACAGAAGGGGGTCTTTGTCTTATAGTCATGGTATGGGGGGTTTTGTCGCAAAACAAAATACAGGGCGGTCTTTGTCATAAACTACATAGTACAGGGGGGTCTTTGTAATTTACCCTATTTTCTTACTGTTTTTGATAATTGATATCATTATTAAATAGAAAGAAAAAAATAAAAATATTTCTTACTGTTGGAAAAAATTCTCATGATCATCATCCTGTACTTTGGTTTGAGTGGCAATTTGGTCTCCCAACTTTAAATTGCCACAATCTAACATCTGGCATTAACTTACCGTTAATCAACACGTAAAAAGACATAAATACCCTTTCATTTTCAATAACCGAGTTTGAATCAATTTGAAAAAGACAAAAATGACCTATACACTAACCTTTCTTGATAGTGGGAGCCACTATTCACTATGTGCTCTCCCGAGCTCACCTTCTTCGCACCACTCAGAACCTTTCTTTCCTCACGAACCTGTATATCGGATAAGTCCTACATTTCTTAATTTTGTTGAGTATCGGGAAATCACCATTATCGAATCTCTCCTTGGCTTTGGCTATCTCCTCGCCTAATCTCGCCTTGAGTTCCTCCTAAAAGGCTGGTATCTGTTTAAATGTGGAATATCCGCTTTCAGAACTCTCTTCTTCTGTCTTAGGAGATTGATTGAGCGCCTTCTCCACGAGGACCTCCTGCAATTGGAGTAGAGCATAGGATGGGTTGGTGGGATCGTTGAGGTAGTAGGAGAACACAGGCTGCATGGTGTTCAATAACTTGCAAGAGCTCCTTTTCACAGAAACGGGTTTCGAGCAATGATCTGTCCTGAGCTGTGTATAGGATCTTCCTCACAACTTGGTTGGTCGAGGATATGTTTTACTACCTCCCTCATATTCTCCTCTAAATGTCGAAGATCAATCACTTGGCAAACTGCCATCATGTATGTTGCAGACATGAGCTTTAAGATTTCTATCGTTTCCACGCTCTTCCTGGCCGAGATTAAACCAAACGAGTTCACGTCCTAGTTATGTTGTTCAGTGCTTTGAATATGAGTGGTGACTGGGTTTGCCAGGTATTGAAGCTCCGAGCAATATGCCGCCATGGCGCCATGGCGATCTCCACATCTTTGAACCCGTAGTCTAGTCTCGGGTTGGGTCCGCCGCTCAGATTAGAAAGCACCAATATTGGCACTTTTTGCCACATGGTCCCGGGCCTCAGCCTCGTTGAGAGTAACCGTCACACTAGACTGACGAGCAACCGTGGCCACTTGAGCGAAGATGAGAGTGGTACCCTGGAGATTAACTATCTGGGATTGCTGGAACTGTGACACCATTCGACTACTTCATCACAGTGGGTGCACTGTAGAGCCTCGACGGCCTTTTTCTAGAGTGGTGGATTGGAAACATATGAATCGCCCGCCACAAAGATGGGATTCCTTCCACCTTTTGGAATGGGCAAGGTGGGAAGACGACACTGGTCAATGGGGTTGTGGATCATGCTGGTTGCCATTGCTGGAATTTGATCGGAAATATTGGAAGGAGCAGAGGATGGGGTGGCACCGGTGCAGGTAGATGCTCTATATAGTAATCGCAGAACACTAAAGTAGAATGAATAAATGAATGTGTTGTGGTTATCAGCACCGACGGGGAGGAGGTGGTTCTAAACCATCAGCTTCGTCTAAACCCCCGCTGCAATTTGAAGTGGCGGAAAGATGCACCACAAAAGGAAATGGGATTGGGAATAACTTCCCGTAAGATAAAACATACAAGTACGGAAATATTCCCGATGCAAGGCTGTAAACGCTGTTCGAGTAATATTCGAACCGGCCTTGCAGTGACTGAAGCCGATCTGATATTGAAAGTTCTGATAATTGACATCATTATTAAATACTAATGGAAAGAAAAAAATATATCAAATTTGTCTATTGCTGTAACTTCCGATCGACAAGCAAAGAGAGAAGAAACGGGAACAGTGTTTGGTCTTATCTCATCATTCAATTATGAAGAAATTGATCATAAATTACAAAGAAAAGTGACAAATGAATGGATAGACCTTATAACGTACCAGAGCCGCCTCAAAATATTTCTCAATAGCAGCTCTCACAACATCATTTGCAGCATTTCCAATTTCAGCAGTTGTAGCAGGAGATTAATTTCTCATATAAGCAACACCATTAGCATTTATAGAAGAACCATAAGAAACAGCTTCATTGGAGTTTTCATATGAATTTCCTCGGTGGCAGCATTCTCAATAGTAGTAGGAGCACCAACAGCCCCATGTGTTGAGGGGACAGGTGTTTGCATAACGGAACTATTTATATTGTTTAAGGATCCATTTGACATGTCTTTTTAGGAAAATTTTCATATGCAAAAGATGTATTGAGCTTTTGCATGAAGATCTGAGTAGTCCAAAGCATGTTTGGCAGATACGTGTTTTTCTACGTGAGATTAAAACGCAAAAGATGCGAGAAAGTTCATTTGGAGCTTCCCGAAATCGGCCCAAAATGGACCTTTTGCGTCTTTTTGGTGATCCATCTTTTGGTAGCTAGATCTTCTGCACACCAAACGGAAATAAACCGAAAATCGATCTTCACAGTTTGTAAACAATCAAAAGACCGCGTGGAAAGACACACCAAACAAGCCCTAAATTTCTATCACCTGAATCAGGACCATTTGGGATAGGATTAGCCGCATCTTTTTTAATGTTATAAGCAGTTGAATCCATAAGAAATTGATAAACTTATACGACCAGAAATACCTAGAAACCCAACCCTTGTTATTAGAAGTGAATGTCAAGGAGAGAGAGGCAAGGCACTTCTATGGCAAGTTTCCCATACCAGATCTAGCTGGAGATGTAACATCATCTGATAAAATACAAAGACCGAATGAGGAAAAGAGAAGGAGAGAAACTGAGAGAGTTGATGGTTATCGTCAATTTTTCTATGTTTCTTACCTGAAATCAATTGGTAATGATAGAAAGAGAAGAACAAATCTAATTTTTTTTGGGCTTCCCCTATTATCACTCAGAGATCAGTGCATCATCTCGGTTTATGGGTATTTTTGGGTGAAATTCTTCGGCGACCTCCCTCAGTCACAACCATCTCTCTCTTGTTGCTAGTGTGTTATTTGGGTATTTCTGGGTGGAACTCTTTGGCGACCTCCTTGATTCATAGAGAACCTATGGAGGGGAAGGAAGATGGAAGGGAAGAGGGGAGAAAGGGAACAAAGAGGAATGGGAAGGAGAAGGGTAGTTTAGGAATTTAAAAAAAATACTAGTCACATGATGTCACATGTAAACGAAGTGTGGTGAAAAGTTAATGACAAGGGAGGTTTTAAACAATTATCAAAAACAGTAGGGATACTTTAAGATAATATGTAAACAGTAAGAGTGAGTTAGTCAATTAGCTAAACCATAAGGGCAATTTAAGAAATTTGCCCAATATTTTAAATTCCCAAATTACCCTTTCTTATTTATCTGAATGGYTAGAAGGCATCACTGACCAGGTTACCATGGATTCTAGTGACCATGGAGACAATTGATTTATTCAATCCTCTTCAATTGGTAGTTTTTGTCTTGAAAATCCATGACTGGTGATCTTGTTGATTGTGCTAGCAAGATTGTGAATGTTGAGGGTGAATGGTGATGGGTACCAACAGGGGATAAAGGCGGAAGCAAGGGGAAAGGAGAAAATGATGATTGGTGAGCAACAAAGATTGGGGAGGGGCATACGAAGACTAGATTAGGTTAGGGTTTAAGGGGAAAGGGCAATGAAAAGAAAAAAAAAAAAAAGCTCAAATGAGTATTATGGTAATTAAATGCATTCCATCTTCTAATACTTTATCTATATTTATATCCATTTTAATTTAACTATAATTCTTTATACAATAGATATATTTACATTAAACTATAATTATTAATAAAGATTAATTATATTGAAATAGAGATATTTAATGACATATTCTTAGGCCAAATAATCTATTTCCATTAAGAAGATATTAATTTTTAAGTATAAATTAATCAAGTAATATTCTTCCAAATATATGTTATAAGTTGAAATAAAATTGTTGTTTTAAAAACTTACTTTGAGGTTGATAGT